TTTTCCGTTCATTTATTTATCAAATGGAAAACTAATTACAAATCGTCGACTTTTGATTTGCTGCTTTGAAATATAACACTTTTTGAATGGGATGTGAAACTTGTGCCCTGCCATTGCTTAGTGGATATGCATATATTCCTGGTTAATAATATCATTCAATTCCAAATAGAGCGAGCAGTGCGCGAGCTGGGACTGTCCGACAGGGGGATGCCCTGACACCTCAGCCTGAGCTGAGCTGCTGCTCGCCCCATCATTCTGGGCTGCCTTTAATAGACAGTCATCCTGTTCCTGCTCCTCTCCCTGCTCCTTCTGCTCCTGTTACCTTTTTTTTGACTGCTTTCTGATCCTCCGGTTGCTCGGCTGTTCCTGCTCCTCCTCTCGCGTCCTGATTTTATTTCTCTTCTTGATTCAGCTCCTCTCTCTGCTCCTGTTCCTTTTCTGTTTCTCTGTGCTTGCTCCTTTTCCTGTTGAGACGAACGAGCGAAAAGCTCTTGGTCCTTCTCCTCCTCCTCCTTCTTCTGCTTCTTCTCTTATTCCTGCTCCTGATTCCCTCTCCTGCTCGTCTTTCTGCTCCTCTTTCCGCTCCTGTTCCTACCCCTCTTTCTGCTCCTTTCCCTGCTTCTCTTCCTGTTCCTCCTCCAGCTTCTCTTCACGCTCCTGATCCTCTTTCTGATTCTGTTCCCCTTGCTTTGCCCTTTCTTTCTCCTTTTCCGCTTCTTGCTCCCTCTCCCTCTCCTGCTCCTGATCCTCTTCCTCGGCCTGTTCCTTCGCTGCCCTACGCTCAGTTGCTGGACTCATTTTGAGCCAGCTTCAGTGGGCTGGGGCATTTGCTGTGCCAACACGGTGTCTGAGAAGGTATTCGAGTTGGCCCTAGCAAACTTCTTGAATATTTGCTTTGCGATTAGCTGGCGTAACCGTTGCAGGAAACCGAATCAAAGGATAAGGCGTTAGAAGCCAGCGCCGAGTCCTGTGTAGCGATGTTTGCTCGGATGTGGCGCGGCGAGTGGATGTCGACTTTGCGGCTTGCGGCATTAATGTGCATAATTTAGTGAGCTTTGCACATTCGCATGTAAATACGCCTGGGCAGCGAGGAGGGGCAAGCAGCAGCAGCAGCAGCAGCTGCTGTTGCACTTGTTGGCGCTGTGCACATATTTCAGGAAGCGGCTTCATTGTCGGTCTGCTGCGCTGCTGGCCAGCGTCAACTCGTCGCCCACGCTCAATTTGTCAGTGGCACACACGTAGCCTGCTCGATGTGTGTGTGTGTGTGTGTGTTTGGGATTTGGCATCGACTTGGCTGTCTTATTCACTTCAGCTCACACATTTCTATTCATTTCAATTGTACTCATTCACGAAGCAAGCCAAATTAAACTACGTGCCCCTTTTGCTATGCAATGCAATTTTTATTGACTGCTGCAGCAAGGAGCGAGGCCGGCGACGAGGCGGAGGAGTCGCAGTTGGAGCTGTTGCAGCAGCTGAATTCCATCGAAACTTAAAGCCCAATCGAGCAGCGAGTGAGCAGCTTGTGCTTTGCATGCTGCCAGAATCTGCTGCAGCTGCTGCAGCTGCTGCAACTGCAACTGTCGTCATTTCTATAAAATATTCATTAACCTGATATTCATTAAAGTGGCACGCCGCTACCTCGTTAGTTTTAATGGCGCCAACATTGTCAGCAATATATCCAAGCAGCCAGTCAGCCAGCCATTCAGTGTCGTCATCGTAACCAAGTTATAATCATTAGGAGCACAGGGGCCAACTGCTATGTAGGGCAGTCGAGCTGCAGCACACACAGCATACAATTGTCTCATCCTTCAATCAGCCCCGCTGCACTTCACTTTGCATGCATCTTCAGCCTCAGCTTTGGCCTTAGCTCTATCCGCATCTACACAGATATATATTATTTTTCATGCATTCGTCCAAGGGTCTCCATGCATTTACTTTGATTTTCGTTTATGCTCGCTCAGCTTGGCTTTTTTTGTATGCAAATCGGTCTACCCACTGATATGCAGCTTGTCTCTCGCAGCAATGTGGTCGAGAGTGTGTTAACTAGAGCTGTGTTAAGTCAGAGTGCGGCTTGGTTCTTCTGTGGGAAGTGTCTATGGCTTGAGCTGCATCTGAAAGGTGTTTCACTTTTTTGCTTGCCGCATGAGACCAACATGTTGAGTTCCCACAATTTCCTTTACAATTTTCAATTCAGACTTTTCGGCGATCCATACAGAAAAAGCTGTGGAAAATGTTGAAGCCCTGAAGAACGCTTGACTAGGGCAAGATCTATGCAGTAAACAGTCTGTAAAAATAAAACAAAAAAATAAATAAAAATATATATATAATAAAAAATATATACTATAATATAAAATATATATAAAATATAAAAAAAAATACAAATGATATGAAAAATATATAATATAATAAAATATAAAATATATATAAAAAAATGTATATTAAAAATATATTTTAAAAATATATCAGATATAAGCAAAGCTGCGGCTTAAATGTTGTTATATATTAAATTTGCTTGTTCACATTAATTATAATTTATTTCCGTGTTTTGCTGCTTGATCAGCGATGTCGTTGACTGCGAATTCTCTGCCATGGTTTCCCACGGATTGCATTTGCTTTGTGCTTTGCTCATAGTACAGTTCACATGGAGGCATAAGGAGGCGGTCGTCAATAACATGTTTATGCGTAAACAATTAATAATTCTAGTTCTCTATTTTGTTATTTTTTTGTGCTATGATAATTTCATTTTTATTACATTGTTTGGTGCTTCGAAAATGTGTTATAAAAAACCCTTAAAGAAAAAAACGAAATATAAAAATGTTGCGCAAAACTAGATAGTGCATTTTTTTTTATAAAAAATGTATTTGTTTTCAAGTAAATTATATTTTTTAATTTTTTAATCTTTTTGGTTTTTATAAAAACCTTCATTTTTTATTTTTACTTATTTTAAATTAAATTTGCTTACTTTTTTATAAAATGGAACACATTTTTTTTTTAATTTTTTAGTTTTTATTAAACTTATCCTTATTTTGGATTTACTTTTTTCCTTATGAAATTGAACTTTTTTTTAATTTATTATTTTTTATTAATTGTTTTTTTTTTTTATAAAATTTAGCTCAAACTTGTTTTTTTTTTTATAAAATAAATTTTTAAAATTTTTTTAATATTAAAATTTTTTTTATATTTTTCTTAGGTTTTTATAAAATTTACAGTTTTTTAAATTATTTTATGAAAAACTAAGCTTCTTCTCAAATTATTTTTTGTTTTTTATAAAAATAATTTTATTTCTTAATTATTTAATTAATAACACTTTAAATTTAATTGTTTTTTGTTTTTTTTTTTTAAAACTAAACTTAATATTTTTTAATTCCATTTTTTTATAAAACTAAACTGTGCTGGAAAATGAATGATAAAATGTAATAAAATTAGAGTTTATTCACGTGAACGAGGCTTTTAGCTGGGAATGAGATGAAAATTAAATAAAACGATGTGGTAAGAGTGAAGGGCCAATTCTCTTGAGCCTTTTACAGCTGCTTCTGTGGCAGAGTCGACGAGCGAGTACGTTTGGAGTGGGAGTATAGTTGGCAGTGATAGTTGGTGGCTTGTTTCGTCTGTCTCTAACTATAGATATATGGAAGAACTTAACAAGTTCGATATTTCCTCAGCGCAAGGTGGTCTTTGTGGCAGCAACGTGTGAATCTGTTCAGAATAGAAATCTGCTTCAAAAGTGTTAACTATCCAACCTGTCGACTTGCCGACGGCATGCAACCAGCAAAGACTCGCTCTTTTCTTTGTAATTTGTTGATAAAAATAGGTTGAGTTTGGTTTCAGCTGAAAGATTTTACATTGCAAACTTCAAAAGCTGACATTTATAGCAAAAATACCTAGCAGATAATTTAATAAAATATACATAAATATTTTACAAATATTTAACACACTTTTTGTGACAGAACAATAAAAAGAATTAATGTAATTTAATTTGTATAAATGGAACGTGTTGTTTTTTGCTCTTAACATGCAGCTCGAGAAATTTATTTAATAATTCTATAAAAGGAAACTCGACGTAACAACAACAAAAGCAACAACATGAGACATGTCTACAAACTGGAGCAAAAAACTTAAAAACTTTGTAGTGCTTGGGCCGTGTGTTGACTTTAGTCAAAAGGTGTGACAATATTTACAATGCGTTCTTAATTGAATTTATTGTGTGTATAAAGCATTTCGTGTGTGTGTGTGTGTAAGTGTGTATAGTCATGTCTTAGTGTGCTATCCAATGCGACATGGAATTATCTGGCTTTCCATATTTAGCCAGCAAGAAATGAACAAACTCATATTAAACTATATTTGTGGGTGAGTGCGGGGGCGTGGCAAACGAATTACAGCCCATTATACAATGTACTTATGTAGATATTTATGATTTCGTAGATAACAGAGGCGCTGACTCTTGCAGTTAGGGAAATGTTTAAGAGCTTAAATTTCCCTCAGATAACAGCAGTAAAAAGCTCCACAGCGCCATCTGTATACCACTTGCGAAACTAATGAAAGTTTCGATTTGCCATAAAAAGGTCAGACATGCAAGCAGTGCTCTGCTTGTTATTTGCTCTGCTTCACCTAAGAGTATGCTAGACTATTTCAGGTCTGTGTCCTTACTACGCCAGCGAGTGTGTGTCTCCGATAGGCAGGTGCGGACAACGTGTCGTATCAGTATCAAGTGGAAGCACTCAGTGCTTAAATATCTCGGCTATTGCAACTATTTTAATCGCTTTTTTAGCTCTATTTGCGCATTGCATGCCTGGTGCATGAATAAGCGAGACAATTGTTGATAAGACCTTAGTCCAGAAAGCGGCCAACTTCAATCGTTTGATTATTGAAGCCCGTCGTGACCGCTGTGGTACGTGAAGTGGAAACGGAAACGATTGGTATTGGTATCGCTATCCAATGCACGCCACTTGACCAGCTCTTGGCCAGTGTTTGATAGCGCCAATTAAAATTGCGCAGATTCTTCAGTTATCGCTGCGTGCCGGATTGCGACCGGAAGCAACTTCATATGCCTGTTTAACCGGAAACGCACAGTTAAGTGTGCCAATAAGGCATATTTATCTGAGCTCAACCCAAAGCACATTCCACTCAAGGAACTGCGCAGCCAACAGGTAGCGATAACACAGCAAAGGCAAATGAACTTCTCACCCCAAGCCCTTGGCCTGTGCGAACTTTGAAGACTTTTTGTCTTCAGCTCGATTCAGCTGCATCACTAAAGCCGTCTGAATTGCCAAATATATATATATATATATGCCATGAATGCAAGTTCTAACTACATATATTGCCATTGTATGGATCAGGCTGCTATATATTAGACTTATGACTACAATCATATTTAAATATGAAAGTCAGGCAATTTTTTATTCAAAAAACATAGTTTAATTGATATCAGAAATATATGTGTTTATTCAAATATGAGTTAAACTTGATTAACTCTAAAAGAAACGTGAAATATAACAAAAATCATTAAACTTGATTTTTAGATAACGTTTTTGAATTCACAAAGGTTATACTAACTTCACTGTTGGATCTATGAACTGAATCTATGCTTTCTTCCCTTAAGTCACCTGGTATCAATTTGGCTTGCCTTTGCAGATCTGCATGACTCCAGGAGGCATCAGTCACTGACTCAGTGACGGCTCTCAGTGACTTTGGCTTTCATTAAGTGATTTCATTTACTCGCTTGCGATGCAACTAAAGTCCTTGGCAAATCAAAGTTAAGCTTGATTCTAGTTTGCCGCCTCAACTTCCCAGGGAGAAGTCGCTGAAATAGGGAAATCTAGAAAATGGCATTGGCTGATCGTCGACTGAGTGTCGCTGTTGGAAAATAAAAGAATTCTGCAACAGCTGCTCAGAGCAGAGCAGCAACTAGCAAAGGCCAAGAGACCAAAGAAATTGAACTTCAATTGTCAACTAGTGCGCGCAATTATGTGATATATCATCTGAAGAGGGCGTGGCAGACCCCATAAAGTAAATATATTCTTATTCTATATGTAGCTGAATCGATCTAGCCACGTCGCATAAACACTAGACTTTTCAATGGATGCTCGTATAGACCAAGTTTACAAGTTTTACAAAATGTTTTTCCATCGATAAAAATCGATAATTTGCCTTCGTTGCCTTTGTATATGATGGCGACTTTAGATTTACTGTGTAGGCTTCTGTAATGAATATAGATAGATATTTTATATGTTTCGGATTTTGGAAACCATCCCACTTTCTCCTTTAAAGTATACAAAAATGGTTAGTTTCAACTATTAGAGCCTTGTCTTGTGCTTTGGCAAATAAAGGCAGCTGAATGCCATAGTCATGAAAATTTCATTAAGAAAATCCAGCTAGAAGAAAAGTTATTCAACAATTAAGATCCTGCTTGAATTTACTTTGCAAATAGGTAATGCCACATAATCTAATGCCACAAATCCATTTACATATACTAAGTTGGAAGTCAAGTATCTAAGCATAATCTAAAATATAAAATGCCTGTTAATTCGCATATATTTTTTAATATATACACATATATATTTTATTTTTATGTTCTTATGCACTTATATATATAATTTTTTTTTTTAATACATGGATAGTGTGTTTGTTTTTTTTTTTTAGTTTTTATTTTCGCTGTTTCATAAATATATTATAAGTATTTGTATTTGTTTCATTCTCACTAAGAACTAAGCTAGAAAGCTCTAGTCGGGCTGGCCGAATAGGAGATATCTTGAACCCTGTCCGATCCACTTCATATTTGAACAATGGGCTCAGGGTATAAAAAAAAACAAAAAAAAGCTCAACTATCCCTGGATTTGAACACAGAACACTTCGGGCATCAAGCGCCGCTGCACTGCTTGCTCGAGCAGCAGCTGACAAACAGGCACAATTCAATAGCGCAAAATGCACGCATTTGAATGTGTGTGTGCACACGTATGGGAAAGCTGCGTGCGCTGGGCGCTGCGGCGAGTTGGCCAAACGTTTTGTTTGATTACTCCTGTGTTACTCAATGGATTTCAATGAAACTTTCAGCATATGATCTATGTATTCTATCGAATATTTGTCATCCTAACTCTGTGACATATTGGCTAAATTTGGAACTGAACGTGAATTTAAAGAATCTAATGGAATTTGGAGCCGTTATCCTAAGTATAACAAATATGAAAATTGTATTGAATATGCAGAAAACTTTGGATACTTTAGGCCCGAAGATGTGCGTTATATAGTTTAATAGCTGCATTTTGATCAACATGGGAACAGTTATCGACAGACGGACGGACGGACATACGGATATGGCTAGATCGACTCGGCTTGTCTGCCTGATCTTTGCGAGGTCTGCCACGCCTCCTTCTGCCTGTTACACACATTTGAATGGGTTCAGGCTATAAAAAAAATGTAGATGATTACTTAAAATAAATCACAGTGTATCTATACATTTTTGATTTGTTTCTTGTCGACTTGTTGTTGTTGATGATTAAATAAGTTATGTGTTAAGGTGAAATGCAAAAACAAAATTGAAAAAAAAATACAATAAATATGTAAATAAATAAATAAATAAATAATTAAATAAATAAACTACTTTACCACATACATTATAAATTAAGAAGTTAACTGGAAATGGCAATATGTCATTTGAACAGTAAATAAATAATGTGTGTGTGTGTGTGTGTGTGCGTGTGTGCGTGTGTGTGTGTGATCATAACTATCCGATCAACGGAAGTAGCTGTGATTATACTTTGATATATATACCACTAAACAGTTCTAACATAAATATTAAATAAATAAATAAGTTAAGCTCTTGGAGAGGGGAGCGGTCGAGCGGGGGGCCGGGGGCGGGTCATTCATTAAATTATATAATGGCATTTGTGAAATTCATCGTTTCAATGGTTGGCGCAACTAGGAACTGTGCACAGCACTGGGCGCTAATACTGGATGCAGGTCAGATGTTATTCGAGCAGTTGTTGGCGCTGGGCTTAACAATCGCCGAAGTTGGAGCAGCCGCTGTCGTTGCGCGTGCCGGCTGCCGCTGCCGCTGCCGAGTGCGCTGCCGAGTGAGCCGAGCTGCTGCTCTCGACGCTCTGGCGGGAACTGGCGGCGGAGGAGCTGTGCTGGCGATGCTCCGAGCTGCTGCGCTGGTGCTTGCCCAGCGCCCGACGCAGCGACTTCCACATGTTGTCCAAGTATTGATAGTACAGCTGCTTGGTGAACTTGAGATCGCGCTTGTCGGCCTCCTTGCTGCCGTCGGCGGGCGTGTAGAACTTGAGGCTCTCACGCATCTCGGCCTTGCTCACCTGGCTGAGCTTGGCGGCATTGCTGTACGGATAGGATGCATTGATGGTGGTCTCAATTTCGCAGAGCACCCTGCGGGCGCTGACGAGCAGCTTGTGCAGCTCCTCGGTGGCCTTGCCCAGTGGCAGCTGGTGTTCCTTCTGGTATTTGTAGTGCGCCTTGCCCAAATAGGCGAAGCTGCCCACAAATGTTTGCACGTCGCTGTACCAGAACTGCAGCTTCACCTGTAATTGGTCCAAATCCCACATAGAGGGAGAAAGCGAGAGACAGAGACGGAGAGAGAGAGAGAGAGAGAAGCAGAGGGTGGGGGCTACAGTTAGTCAATTGCAATACAACAACAAAAAGGGCAAATGCAAATGCAAATGCCGTTCGGCGAGTCGACGGAAACTGGTCTAAGCCGCCCAGGGCGGAGCAGGTCCCGGTCGACGGACGCGTCGATCATTTTGCATGCTGCATTTTGCGCCTCTTCATTTCTTTCTTTCTGTTTCGTGTTGCCACTCACCTTTGTGGGACGCGTCATGTTCGGCAGGAACTTGTACTCGCGCTGCCAGGCCTGAATGTCGCCGTAATCCAGATTGGCGTCATTGCTTATAGCTGCCAGTTCGCTTCTCGTGTTGTTGCGCAGCGCCTTCAGGTACTGCAAGCGGATCTGGAATGGATTGTAGCGCAATTAGACTAACTCTATTGTGAACTGCGACTGCGACTGCGAATTGTCAATTGTGAACCAGCTTGAGGCATGGCCCTCACTCGGCATCACGTGGATAATTACCTTGCGCTTGTTGGTGCGTGCGGAGCTATCCATTTCCTTGGGCTGCATGTGATCGGGCTGGTAGACGCCGCCGCAAGGATTCTCCCACTCGGGCGCCGCATCCGGCTGCTGCTGGGCTCTGACAAAGTATGTCAGCATGTGGCTGCGTCGGTGTCGGATGCGCTGGCGTCGCAGCTCGCGCATAACGGCTTTCATTGCCGTCTGTGTCATCTGCTCAAAGCTGCTATCGCTCTCGGCATCGATGCTGCCGCTGGCGCTGCTGCCGCTGTTGGCGCTGTTGGCGCTGCTGCCGCTGCTGCTGGCGTCGCTGTCATAACTGGCATCGCCGAAGCTCTGTGCGAGACCATAAAAGGGATTCGCGTGCCAAGCGGGCAGCGAGTTGCTGCTGTCGAGACTGGCACTGGCGCTCGAGCTGTCGGCATCGTCGTAGGCAAGGCCCAGCGGCAGCTGATCGTGCAAATGGCGGGCAAGTGTCAATGGCATCAGCAGCGCGGCCAGCGCCAGGAGCAGTTGATAGCTGTGAATGCTGTTAGTGTTGATGCTGCAGCTGCAACTGCAACTCTGTTGACGGCGGGCGCTTTGGCTGTGGCTGTGTCTCTGGCTTTCGCAATGCTTTGCTGCAACGAACAGAGCAACGAAATAGAACGTAAGTTACGCAAGTCAAGGCAATCAATTAAGTTCGATGTTACCGTTGGACATTAGAGCTAGACTAACACCAATCGCAACTAAACTAAAATCAACTGAACTAACTGTGCGAGGCTCGTTCGATCTGGCGTGCGCGCTCTGCGGCATCTGCTCGACAACTGGCCAGTTGCGCACTCGCACTCGCACTCACATTCATCCATTCACACACTCACACATTGCACTCGCACTCAACGATTAGCACTCAATGCGCGCAGCCTCTCGCAATTGAGTGAGTGTTTGCGTGTGCCTAGCGTGATAAGCGGCTGGCAGGCAGCCTCCAGCTGAGAGCGTGAGCGCAAATGCTTGGCTTGTACTCGCTTTTAGCCAAATCAATTGAGAGCAATTGTAGCTGGCTGTGTGTGCGTGAGTGTGTTTTATCATAATTGTTAAACGGCATTTGGCTTTGTCATCAATTGGATTTCGCTTGAATTTCACAAGATATTTGTAGATTAGTCATCGAGCGAGTATTTTGGGTTTTTCGTTTTCTTTCTTTACTGTTTTTTTTTTTTTTTTATATGCTAAAGGCAGTTGCTGTCGCAGCAGCAGCAGCAGCAGCAGACGCTGGCCAGACAGACAAGTCGCGCGCAACGACGACGTCATCGTTGAGCAATTGGCCGCGGGCAACGCGTCGTATGAATAATTTATACCCGCGAGCTCGTGCCATGCCGAGCTGCGCCCGGCTAGCGACAGCGACCGCGGCAGCGGCAGCGGCAGCGGCACCACCAGCGACTGCACAAGCACAATCGTTTGCTGTTGACCTAGGTCAGCGACTTTGCGTTGGATAACAACAAGAGCAACAGTGCCAATGCCGGCGCACGTGCTACCGGGCATGTGTCCACAAATCTGGGCTGAGAAAGTCTTACTTTGACCACGATCGCAAGTTCATTATCTAGGCAGATTGGCTGGCCAGATTAAGACAGCGATTAATATAGCTAGATTATTAACTAATTGCCGTCCAATTAAAGCTCCTCGACAACTTATGACTTGCCCTATATATACTTATGTATATATATATATTTATTAACTTAATGCCTTGCCTAAGCAAAGACATTGCCGTAGCCTAGGCGAATATTAATTGATAATTGTTCGATTTAGCACTGGTCTCGTAAATTCTCAACTTTGTTTGGACTTTGTTTCGACTTTGTTACGTCTTCTGTTGCGTTTGAAGTTTTCTGTCTTTTTTTGGTGTTTTTATTGCTTTCGGGAAGGCTGAGAACATCGCTTTAAAAATGATTTAACATTTCACAGCCGCTGGCTAAGCGATCGTAAATTTTGGTAAAGCCTGCGATAACCTTGGACTCGGGGCGCTTTCATACTTACTTGTTTGGCACATTTTAGCAGCTGTTGTTGTTGTTGTTGTTGCTGTTGTTATTGTTAATTTTATTGTTATTGTTTTTTTTTTTTTTTATTTTTTTTTTTTGGCTAATCACTCGGGCAATGGCAATGTCTTAGAATGCTGGCTGGAGCCGTACTCCCGTTCACTTGATAATAACTTGAATAATACTAATGACTGTTGGGTTTCATTTGACTCTTGTGAGTCTCAGTTCTGAGCCGCGACTTGGGTTCAGTTGGATGCGATGCGATGCGATGCGATTCGATTCGGCTCGGTTCGGTTCAATTTGATTCGCAGGCCGACGACGATAATCATTGGCGTGCTTTTATGTGAGACTGAATCATGCTTTCAACTGTGCACATTAATTTATATTTATACGAAATCAATGCCGTAGACTTCGGCATCGCACGCGACGGCGCAGTCGGCGCTGCTGACATCGGCGTCCCTGTCCACACGCCACCACCTTCTCGCCCCACCTGCCGCTCGCCCGTCAAGGGCTATCTCCCTATTATCTATTATCCATCCATATCGTACTTGCCCCCCGGCAGCAACACATTGCCCACGATATTACGTAGGGGGACTTTTCCAGTTCAATGGTATCAGCGGCTACGTCAATACTTCAGCAACGGCACATAGTTCCTATCAGTCAGCTGTAACAGTCAACAGTCTGTCGGCTTGTCATTTGATGCAAAGGTTCATAACTCGTTTGTAATCTTTTCGCAATTGCCAAAAATTGTACTTTGATGCAATTTCCCTAGCTTGACGCTCGAGTATTAATTATCGCCCAGCATCAGTGTTTCTTGATATCTCGTAGCCAAGCACTCGCCACTGCCTCATTTACACAATAGAAGCTGGCTGCAGCCTTCTTTGAATTGAAAAAGAATTTAGGAAAGTTGGCCCAAGCCAAGCTCTTAGACAGATACAGCTCTTACAGCCAGATAGCTCTTAGACAACTAACCTCGCCTCTTGCCTGTCACTTTGCTGTCTTGCCTTAATTCAATTGGTCAAATATACAACTCGGAATGGTTTTATCTTTTCAATATAAAGCAATGCAGGTTTAAAATAAAATTAAAATATTAATATAAATATATTTTATATTTTATATTATTTATCATATATTATATATGGGGAGAGTAGATAGGAGATATTATAGATTATAGATGAGATATAATATATTATAGAGGAGATAGTAGATATTATATATTATATATTATATATTATCTATTATATACTTATATATTATATCTTATATATTATCTATTTTTTATATTTTCTCTTCTATCTTCTGTCTTATATACTTCTATATTTCTTTTCTATTTCTATCTTCTCTCTTCTCTTCTCTCTTCTTTCTTCTCTCTTCTCTCTTCTCTCTTCTCTCTCTTACTCTACTTCTCTCTTCTGCTTCTCTACTTCTCTCTTCTCTCTTCTCTCTTCTCTCTTCTCTATTCTCTCTTCTCTCTTCTCTCTTTTCTCTTTTCTCTTTTCTTCTTTCTCTTCTCTCTTCTCTCTTCTCTCTTCTCTCTTCTCTCTTCTCTCTTCTCTCTTCTCTCTTCTCTCTTCTCTCTTCTCTCTTCTCTCTTCTCTCTTCTCTTCTCTCTTCTCTCTTTTCTCTTTCTCTTCTCTCTTCTGTCTTCTCTCTTCTCTCTTCTCTTTTCTCTCTTCTCTCTTCTCTCTTCTCTTCTTTCTTCTCTCTTCTCTCTTCTCCCTTCTCTATTCTATATTATATATGTCATACTATAAATATTATATTATATATATACAAGATTGAACAAGTCTCGTCAAGCTCAAATCGTGACGGCTGTTGCTGGTCGCTGGGGTCCAACGGTTAATGAGGGCTATAAAAACTTAAATGAGCCTTATCTCAATAGGTTTGACAGTTTCGATTAAGAAACGAGTGACTTAATTCAATGGAAAACTTTTCCTATCGCAATTGGGCAGGCTGGTAATGACTTCAACAGACGAATGAATCTGCCAAGTCGTAATTGTGATAGCAATGCATAGAAATTATAATTATAATGTTTATTATCTTCTTAGCTTGTACCTGCCTTGCCTTGGTACCTGGCTTAAGCATCGAGTCCGATTTGTTATTGTGCCTTGTTTTTCCGCTAACTCAAATAGTATGGGATAACAACAAATTTGTTGCTAATATCCAGGCGAAGTAAACATAGTCAAGCTAAAAATAAATCAACGCCAAATGCCAAGCAAATAAAGACATAACTAAGTTCTATTTTCATAGTATCAGAGGGCACGGTGGCCGACGTTATTGATGTGTCTGCACTTGGCTGATAAGGAAATCCTCAAATGCCGACTGGTCATAGGCAAGCGCTGTCTCAGCTTGGGTCTCAGCTCTACAGATCTCAAGTGACAAGCGGCTGGGTCGACATTATTTCTAGTAGGTCAATGGGCTAAGTGAGTGTGAGCGAAGCTGATGCGACTGTGCCTGCAGCCCTGACTCAATCTGTTGAACAGTGTAATTAGTACCATGAATTTGGCAGTGATAAGCCCTCTTTTTTTTAAACTAGAATGGGAAGCACAATCGATTAATTGCCCATGGTGACACACGCACCCTCACTTACACACACTCACACTCACACACAGAGACAGCTATGACAGGAAAAATGAGTTATGTTGAGGCAATAGAAGATACGAACATTCGGCGCTGACTCATGTGTTGAGGGGAGCCGTTAGGTGACGCCGACGATAGCAGCGATTAGTCAAGTGACAGGATCTATTTATATTTGCATTGCCAACCTGGCGCTATATTTATCGCCTGTCGGCATAATTGAATTCGATGATTGTCAGTGGAGCAATCAACGTCAGCGTCAAAGTGCCCTGCCGTGTGACATTACGCGATCAGACGTAGCGACCAGATGACGGACGCTCTCTGGGAGCAAAGCGATGACTAATTGATAACGCGAGCGTGAACCCATTGAATGCGGGAGTGGAGCGTATGATAACGCCTGTAACAGACAGAAGGAAGCGTGGCAGACCCCATCAAATATTAATGCTCTTGAGCAGAGCTGGGCCGATCTAGCCATGTCCGTTTGAATACTGGACTGGATAATGGTATAGACCAAATGTACAAATTTCTCTTATTTTTCGATGAATCAAAATCTATAATTTGCCTTCGCATTTTAAGCGTAGCTTGAATACATTAATGCTGACTTTAGATTTAGTGTGTGTGCTTCTGAAATGAATATTTCGATTTTTTATATATCTAATTTTCGATATCAAAAAATGGTTAATTTCAGCTTTGGCACATTAAGGCAGCTAGCTGGATGCCATAGTTATGAGATGAAAGTTTCATGAAGAAAGTCCAGCTAGACGAAGGCAATTAAGTTCCCATAGTGAAGCCCATCTGCAGCCCACGCGCAGTCGCTGCGTAAGCAGAGAGCGTGCGTGCGTGTGTGTGTGTGTGTGTGTGTGTGTGCGCAGTTGCTTGCTGTTGTTGTTGCTTTGCTTTTTTTCGCTTAACCGCGTCGCTCGAACTGTTGCCTCGTCGCGTATAATGTGTCGACAGTTGTCGCGTGCGCGAATTACCATGGGGAGCTGTATGTTGTAAGTGTATGTGTGTGTGTGTGTGTGTGTGTGCTAGAGCTTAAAGAAAGAGAACGTCACTGGTCGAGTTGAAACACCTAAGTAGCTATGGCAGCGTCTGCGTGGAGTAATCAAGATTGTCTCT